ATGCCGACGAAGTAAGGGGACGACTTCTGGGGATACATGATTTTGCTCGGGAGCATATTCAGCTGGCCAGTGACCGAATGAAGACCAGATACAATGCATGCCGAAAATTCCAGAAAAGACTGCTTTATTGGGGCGAAGAGATTATCGCGTTTATTCTGGATTATACAAGAATGGATTACGGATATATAAATGCCGGTATTAGTTACTAGTTTTCAAGCTTAAGATTGACTGTGATACGATTTAGATAGTGAATTTTGTAAGAGTTGTAAAGAGTTAAGTTGTTTGAGTTAGTTAGTGAAGTAATTGGTGTCAGAGTGTGTAGTAACGTGGAATAAATTATTGTTGTGTTAATTGGACTTTGATTTTAGAATAAACGAACCCAAGATTAATGATACGCACCCCAGAGCCGTGACAATATGTCTCAAGACTGCGGGAATAAAACAAAAAGGAAAAAAGACAGGAAGGACATCAGAAACTGGTACCGTCCCATTTCTGTATTATCCCAAATATACAAGATGTTCATGAAAATCATCACCAAATGCGTATGGTCTAAAAAGAACAGCTACCAACTCGTCGAACAGACTTGGTTCTGAAATGGTTATCGTCCTTCTGACCATATTCTCCTTTCCATAAAACTTCTCTTAGATAAAACCAACAAATACCATCTCGCTTTCGTGGACTACAGGAAGACATAAAAAGAGAGGGGGCCATAAAAACAGCCCAACCGCAGCCCTGAAGGTGCTGCTAAACCTGCTGGCTCTACATATTATCTACATACAGTAAGCAGAGTCCAATTATAAATCACCAAAGGACCATGAGCTGGAAAATAGAGGAGGATCTAGAGGTCAGCTCCTAGTTCGAGATGCCCTCAGATAAAACAACTCCTATTTTCATCTTCAGCAGGCACTTCCGAGTTGCCATACCGGATAGGGAACACTGGAAGGAAAGTCCTTCAATAAAAGCAGACCACATCTGGTACACCGATGGCTCCAAGACCAACAAGGGGGTCGGAGCTGGTATTTACGGAGCCAGACCAAGGGTGGAGATATCCACAAGTCTCGGACAGCACGTAACGGTGTTTCAGGCGGAAATCGCTACAATAATGTACTGTGCCATACTGATAAATGAAAGGAAAGTTAGGAGTAAAAACATCATTCTCGGACTACTATGGGCTGGGTACCAGGCCATGAGGGCAACCCAGGAAATGAGAACGCTGACGACTTAGCCAAAGGAGGTTTCACAGTATCTATCAAGAGCTGGATAGACAGAGAGTTCCAGAGATAGCTGATGGCAGGACAACTACAGTTTATCGCTCGGTGTGGGATAACGCTAGGCCAATTATCAGGGCACTGCAAACTTAACAAGCACCTGGAAAGAAAGAGCCTGGCAGAGGATAGCTTGTGCAGGAAGAAACTGCAGTAGATGTGAGGTGCCATTGCAAGGCGCTATGCAGGCTTAGGTTTGCGAGGCTTGGAGACGAAAAGCTCAATCAGGCAAGCTATATGGAGTGGCCATTCCCATGGCTTTGGAGTCTAATAAAAAAGACTGATATAGAGAACGCACCCTAAGGGCAGATAGGAGGCACCACAATAAATCTGACAAGGTTGCAGTGGTAGAGGACGCCTCTGAGCTATCTCCATTCAAATAAATCTAATCTAATCTGATCTAGAAAGAGTCAAAAGCTCTTAAATTGACTAACGATAGAGACAGCCTTATTATATCATCTCCAGTACCGCTGAAAGGGAACAGGAGCTCAATTCCATCTAGGAAGGAAGTCAGAAGAGACCTTGCCTCTTGACAATACCATGTTGGACTGGTCTAAACGTGATATAGATATAGAAGTCGAGAGACTGAGTCATCTACAGTTCGCCGACACCATCGTTCTCATTTCCCAACAGTTTTAAATAGCTATAATTGATGGTCAGTTGAGAAAACAACGCAACACGCTAAACGATCCAGATATAATAATAAATATACCGATTGTCTATTTATCTATGTAAGACAAGATCAGCAATCCCTATTATACCTATACGCCTACCTTTGTTGCCTTAAACATACATACTATAAGGCGATAAGTTCTGAATCTACTGTAGAGTAGGATTCACTGCTTGAAATGCTGTTTCTGTGAATCTTTTGTCTAAGATTTTGACATCAAGCACATAATTATTTATCGCGCTGAGAATGCTGACAATATCTTGAAAAGAGCCAACTAACCAAGTAGGTACTTTCTGGCTTAAAAAAATAAGAAAAAATCCTGTTATTTTATTTAGATTTCGCCTGTTATTAGGAAGATGTCGAGACCACGAACGGATTAAACGGTTCCTTCTTCGTGACGTCTCTACTGAAAGAAATTATCAAAAAATCTCGACAAGATACGTCGGATTTTCAGCTTTACTTTGTATTAATCCTTTTCAGTTCCTACGTTGTTGATTTTTAACGTTGGCATATTTCGTAAATGTAAAACAGCTTTTATAGAATTATTTAAAAATATATTACTTACAGGTTTAAAAAAAAACATGGACATCAGGTTAAAAGAAATTTGATCAAAAATATTCGCTATAGGGTGTATTCGCACATCAAGAACACCAGAAATTAAATAAAAAAGAAATTGAGGAAATACAAAAAAGATACTAGGGAAAAGATGACAATAGATAACGAAAAACAGAGACAGATACTGATGGGCATGTGCCAAATGAAATTTTCTCAATCTTGACATGTTACTATCTCATTACAATACGACAACTATTTTTGATGAACAAGATGGTTGACTTAACTAATTTCCTGAAAACTTTATTTCAATATTGATTGGGAAGCCATCCATAACGTGACCATATGTCCCGTTTTCAACGGGACCGTCCCTTATTTCGGCTCTCCATCCCGGTGTCCCCGAGAAACACTGCGGGACGCAAAATTGTCCCGTTTTCCCAAACCCCACGGAAAAAAAAATAATGGCGTAAAAAAAACATATCAGTGTTGTATGTTTAATGCTTAAATTTCACTCCAGTGTGTCTGTGTCTATTCTCGAAATCGGTGAACACTGAACAGCGTTCTCACTAGAACGATTGCGCTGTCTTTGTCAGTGCTATGAAAATATAAATATGGGCGACTGACAGAACCTTCATTCTGATGAGAACGCTATTTCCCAGTATCGAGAATAGACACCCAATCAGGACTAGAGTGTTCGGTCAATGGCTTACTTGGTTCTCGAACGCATCAGCAGAAAGGGTATTTTCTTTGATGAACAATGAACAAACTGTGGACAACAGAAAAAACCCAGTTATAGGTCTCGGTTCTTAAGGCAATGTTGATAACCAACAAGGTTAAGATTTAAAAAACGTGCCAAGAATTTAGGCTCTGTTCCAACCGACGTGAGAACCGTTCCAGAACCAGCAATTTCCAGTTGCACACCTATTTTTCAATAAGTTGAACCTCGAATTGAACGTTTATCCTACTTGACAAATGAATTGGAAATTATCGTTCTGATTCTTACATGGTTACCTGGGTTCTTATTCTTAAAACAGGGGAGCAACGTTTCCAGGAGAATAAGTGTTCCATCTTTCTAAATGACATGCAAATGATATCTAATATAAGTAACAAAGACAAAACACTCGTTCTCCTGGGAACGCTAATCCCCGATTTTTGTTTCTAGAATAAGGACTGGTGATGATTTCAGGGTCCTTAATTCTAGAAACATCAATGGAATCAGATTTGTTCCTCTGACAAATATAAAAACACCTGAGCAATTATGTTTCATATACCAATACTTATTTAAATTTGTAGTGCTATTTCAATAAATGAATTAAAACCCTTTTAAGAATGTGTTTTTTCTATTGTGAAACTGCTAATTGACTTGAATAAGCGTTTGTCCCGTTTCGAGTCCACAAATAAATGGTCACTTTAGCCATCCACTATACAAAGTCTCGCTTTCTACTAAAATTTGTGGCGAATTGCAGTTTCATGACATATTTTTTAGAAATCGTTATCTTGTTGCTATTGATATCGGTCAATGATACCTATAGCTGAAACCACCATACTCGTTTACTTGCCGGAAAACAACAAAAGGACATCATTCAACTGGCTACTATAATATATTTTTAAAGGAAACCCCTATTGCATGTGTGGACTGAACCTCTCTCTTTCTCGAAACACCTACGTTGTGAGAATTCCTACGTTTGTATAAAACGTACAGGCGGAGAACATAGAAAGAAGACTTTTTTCAGCCGATCATGTTTTATGTATTTCGTGTATCCCGTGTTAGGTGACAAAGAAAACTAGTTACATTTTTTAATGTCTCCCTCCTTGTACGTGAGTCGTTAAACATTGAGTTGTTCGTAATTTATTTTTATATCATGGAATTTATGAGTTTTGTTAAATTAAATCTGCTGTATATATTTTATATACCTAAGCAGAATATATAAATAAATGAATTAAATTTTACAACCATAATAAATGTAGGTGGCCGAGTGGAATAACCTGTACTATAAACAACATATATGCATTTGACTCTATATTTGTTTTATTTTACCTTCCTATATTCATGAATTTATTTTTTGAAGTTTGATCATAACACCAAGTGGATTCTAGGTCTTCCGCTACCATGAAATTTGAGAATCGAACCATGACAAACCAGTACCTACACAATTTTCCCTGCGGATCCAAATACAGACGCTCGATGTTTTTGCACCACATCAGTTGAATTCAAACCAGAACCAGTTTACCATCATTTTCGAATGATTAGCGATGTTTCTACTGGTTTCTTTTTTTGGTGTATCCGACTACTATCTCTCAGTAGTTCGAGGTTGTTCGCTGTCAGACATTGCACCAAGTCAAATCTAGATGAACAGCTTCCATGAAATTTGAGAGTCCAGTCATGGTAGCCGTACACCAAGAATCGACTTGGTGCAATAGTTGGCACCGAACAACCCATTAGGGATTCTCTCGGATTATCTCACATTTATAATTTTATGTGAAGAAGATAGGAGTGATGCAAGCATTCTAAGGAAACATCTTAAACAAGCTTTAGAACAGAATAAATCCGCCAAATTAAGAGGATATAAACTGGAAATCGAGGGTAGACTATACACGGCAAGAGATTTTGATGAAGATACCGAATATGAAGATGAAATGGATACTGAGGAAGAAGAAAGTGATTGTGATACAATCGACAGTGATACGAAGAAAAAAAAACCTGTGAAATCAAAGACATCCGAAGAAGAAAAAAAGAAAGATAAGAGCAGTGTTAAGCGAAGACACGCATCTTCTCCAAGTCCCAAGAGCTTCCAGTACAGAAATACCAGGCAAAAAGAAAAAAGAATAAAAAAATAGGTAATCACTTTGCTTTTATTTAATTAAATATACATTAGGTAAGATTCATGATTAGTTCTTATAGTTATTATTTATATTATGATTTAAAAAAAAAAAAATATATATACTTATTCTAATGGTGTATTATCAATTTTTTTTTTTATTGATAACCTATTTAACTTATTTAAAGTACTCCTCAGCGTGTTTAAATCCAACTTTCAAAAACGCGCGTATTTTAATAAAGTTACCATGACAAAATCAACAACCCCCAGAAAGGTACAGTCTAAATGTCAACTTTTTAATTATGGATTTGTCAGACAACAAAGATATACCAGATATCATATCACGAATTTAGCATTCTACAACTATTAGTAATTTATGATTTGAACGTATAGGTAAAAAAAAATAGTGTAAAGTATTCGTGGATAACTGGTCTTTAAAACACTTGCTCTATTTCGAGCACTCCGGCTGCGCCGTCGTGCTCGAAAAATCGCGCGTGTTTTAAAGACCTTGATATCCACTTATACTTTAATATACTAATATGTATACATAAATATTTAAAATTGTCACATCATTTTGAACGAAAAATAGGCTGTGCCTTTTGTATCATATAACTTCGCTATTGTTATCATAATATATTAGGTTTAAGTTTCTGCACTAAATTATACAACGGCTAAAAAAAAAAAAAAACACAAATGAATCCCTATATACAAAATTTTGAAATAGATGAAGTTAAAAATTTGTTCTTGAATGATGTGAACGGCTCTCAAATCTTTCTAAAAAAGACAAACAGACTAAAATTAATACATATGAATATTCGAAGCGCAGTAAAAAATTTCGAGGAGTTATCAATTTTTTTGGAACAATTTAATGGAGCATTTGATATCATTGTATTATCTGAATCATGGGAAGTACTGGATAAGTCTTTGTTCAATCTGGAAGGCTATGAAGTGACACATAATAATAGTTTCCTAAACAAAAGCGACGGAGTGCTTGTTTTTATTAAAAAAAAATTTAAATAGTCAATATTCAATAGAAAATATTGGCAACTTTAAAGCTTTAAAAATAGTTATTCGAATAAGAAACCGTAAATATGTTTTCACAAATATCTATAAGTCCCCTTCAAGTGATGTAGTCCAGTTTATAGAAGATTTAGACTCGTATTTGAGAAATTGCGAAAATACGTATTTTCATGCAATTTTGGGTGACATAAACATTAATATAAAATATATGGGCGACGTTTCTGAAAGTTATTTGAATACACTTGGTTCACACGGATATATTTCATATATTAATGATTACACTCGGGTTCATTTCAATCAAAAATCGTGCTTGGATCACATTTTTAGAAAAACACGAGAAAAAAACCAAACTGAATCTGCCATTTACGATTACACCCTTACAGACCATTTTCCTATTCTACTTTCGATACCGTTACGACAATCGGAATTATTAAAAAAAGTACCACAAGTAAACAATAAAACATTTATTAATTATAATAATTTAAAAAAGGATCTAAGTACTGAAAACAAATGGGATGAAATTTAAGACACAAAAGGCATAGATAAAGCTACCGAAATGTTCATTCAAAAAATTAAACAAGCAATCGAAAATAATACGCGAATTATTAAAATTAAAAACATCAAAAAAAAAGGATGGATTACAAAAGCACTTCTAGTATCGATTAATGAAAAAAATGATTTATACAAAAAATGTAAACAAAACCCAAAGGACCTAAACCTATATCAAGAATACAAGAAATATAAAAATAAACTACTTGATTTATTAAAAAAAAAATAAACAAAATTTTTTCAAAAACAAAATTAAAAAAAAACAGTTCCTCTAAGGATTTATGGAATAATATTAACCAAATATGCCAGAATAAAAATACTCAACACGAGATAAATGAAATCAAAGTGAATAATATTCATATCACCGACAAAAAAGAAATGGCAAATGAATTTAATAAACATTATAGCAACTTAGGTGAAACCTATGCAAAACGAATAAAAGAACCAACAAATTTTAAAAAAAGTTTAACTTCTCAAAATGTATCCAAATCAGTGTACCTATCTCTTTTCGACCAACATTGAAGAGATTATTAAAATTATACATAATCTAAAAATAAAAAAATCTCCAGGGCATGATAAGCTGAGATCCGAAACGTTAAAATTAATTGCAAATGAAATATCTTTACCACTATCATATCTTATAAATAAATCTTTAAGTATGGGACACTTTCCACAAATTTTAAAGCTTGGGATAATCAAACCATTATTTAAAAAAGGAGACAAGTTAGACATCCAAAATTATCGACCTATTTCTTTAATTTCAAATATAGGTAAGGTATTTGAGAAAATAATGAAAAACCGAATTGTAAATTTCTTGGAAAAAAATAATGTCTTCTCAGAAGGACAATATGGCTTTCGCCGAGGCATGTCGACGGACAGCGCGATAGCGCACTTAACTGGGAAAATCTATGAAGCCTTAGATGAAAAGAAACCTGCTATCTGCGTGTTCGTCGATCTTGCTAAGGCGTTTGATACAGTGTGCCATAAGAAGCTTCTGATTAAACTGGAGCATTATGGTATAAGAGGGATATCTCTTTCAATAATTGAAAGTTATTTAACAAATAGACAACAAATGGTACAAATAGGGGATGAGGTTAGTTCAAGTCGAGAAGTCAAGTACGGGGTTCCACAGGGAACTGTTTTGGGACCAGTGCTCTTTCTGCGATATGTTAACGATTTGTTTGGGATGGTTACTGAAGGTGAAATACTATCTTTCGCCGATGACACTGCAATCTTCTTTAAAGGCAATACTTGGAACCAAGTCAAATTAAAAGCTGAAAGTAGTTTTAAAATATTACAACAGTGGTTCGACTTTAATCTCCTAACTGTTAATTTTGAAAAAACACAGTATATTCCTTTTACATCATATAAATCAAACCTACCTCATATGGGAGATTTAAAAATTGACGAAACCAAACAAATCTCGGAAGCGGAACAAGTAAAATATTTAGGATTAATATTGGACAAACATGCGAAGTGGGATATACATATTAGGGAATTAACAAAAAAAATCAGATGTCTGTCTCCAAAATTTAAAAATTTAACAAACTTTTTCCACATTAAAGAACTTAAAATATTGTATCACGCCTTATGGTCCAAGAGCCCAGAGCCGCCAGACACAACTTATTTTCTAAAGAACAGAATATGTGGGATTGAGTAGCACTTATAGGTACTATCGTACTATGAACGTATACTCGCTAAGTTGGGTAGACGGCCAGTTGACTGTTATTTGTAAATAACGGTTTTTCCCATTATGGGAAAAAGCGAATCCCATTTCTACTCTAGCCTGGAGTAGACTGTAAGTTTAAGAGGGGGAAATAGATATCACGCTCACTCTCAAACGCATGCATAGTACCCTCGCGCTCACAATCACGGAAAAACTATTATTGCGTCTGGGGGGATGTTTGGCCGGTGCGATTGGTCTGGCTGAGCACACGTAGTTATGAAATAGTCTTCCCAATAACATGTATAAAAATCAAGCGTTAGAAAAAAAGTTAAAGTACTTCTTAAGCTTTTGCACCTGGTGTCGGTAAATTGGCCGTCTACCCAACTTAGCGGGTATACATACGTTCATAGTACATATAAGTGCTACACAATCCCACATATTCTGTCCTTTAGAAAATAAGTTGTGTCTGGCGGCTCTGGGCTCTTGGACTATTAGTGCAATCACTTTTAAATTATGGGATCATAGCTTGGGGTGGGGCACATGACACACATTTGAAACACTTGCACTCAGAGAAATTTTCGCTGTCACAACCAGAAATATGTATAATGCAACAATATAATACAGTTGATATAGGCACAACCACACATATAATTGAATGTATCATAAATATATTGTTAATTGTTATTGTTCCTTCACAAATATTATTGTTTTCTGCAACTAGATTATATTGCTTGTCCTACCAAAGCTGCATGCTTCTCATAAATATAAATATTTTAAAAACAACAAAAGTATTGTCGCTATTGCAATCTAGTATTGATGCAATTACCTTTTTACCAATTTCCATTAACCATTTTATATATTATCTGCAATCACATCATTTGTTGGAACAATAATAATTTATACTTGTTTTTTAATGCCAATTGACCTTTTCAATTTAAAAGCTTCTCTCTCTGGCGTCAAACTGTCAGACGCCAAAAGAGTATGAAAACAACGGTTGACAGCCGCTGACAGTGGTTTGTTGACAAGACTTTTGTAAATGTGGAAACTGGAAACTATTATTTCCTCGGTTTTTTCAAAGTTTTTTCCTAACAATGGTGATTGTGTAGTGTGCCTTTTTGTAAAAATAATTCCTATTTACCGGCGGACGTGTCTTTCCATAAGTTTCCATCAAATCCTATATTTGTCAAATTTTGGATACATAATATCAGAAAGAATACAAAAAAAGGGAATCCACGGCCCATCAAGTATACAAAGTAATCCACGTTCAAGTTTAGTTTGCGGGAGCTGTTTGCTTCCAAAATAATTCACCGCTTTCTCCATAGCGAAGTTCTGCAAATGAAGTAGTAACTTTTCCCACAATTTCTTTCAAAACACCCAATACACACTGGCATTGACAAGCAAGCAAATGTTGGCGGGAAAATGATTGTTTTCATACTTTATTGTCTATCTCTTTTAATTGAAAACGTCAATTATTGCTCTTCTAACAATGTGTTTTGTTAGAATTACCAAAGCTTTTTTAATAGGTACCTACCAACAGGAGATCAATAAAAACAATTTCAAAATATTTAAAAAATTAATTTTGCAAATAAATACAAAACCGACATAGTTAGAATACACAGGCGTTATCGTTTGTATCACTTCAAAAGTGTCCTATAGAGAAAAGGTAATTTTCCTTGTTCGTTGGTGACGACATCAATGGCTTCTTCTTGGCCGGTTCTTACTATACAACACTGTTCCTAAAAATATGCATATTATGTAAACTTAAAAAAATAGATCAACAAAAA